ATCTCGATTTAAATGCCAAGTGACTTATGCGACTTTCAAAATAAACGGTTCATATATGAAGATGAACATCAAGTAACTGCAAAAAATATTCTATTATCCGGAAATACCCTTATCCGAACACCGATGTCTTCCAATTAATTTGAATAATCGAGGTTGTACGATAAGCGGAAGTGTCTGCAGAAATAAACAAACTCGTAACAGGGTTAAGAAACTAAAAGGAAAGAAACAGGGAATTCCGTTTGCGATTTAAAAATTTAATGAACCTTCTAATAAATTGAAAGAAGAGATATTATCCCGAATAGATTGAATCCTTTTACGAGTTACGACTGTAAATAGCGTGCAAAAAGCGAATTTCAGGCACGTTTTACGATAAATCGTAAATCTCTGTTAGATCTAACACACCCATACCGGATAAATACTCTAAATTTCGTTGAGCGTTAGAGTTTCGAGGTGATCGAGTGATTCCAGAAGAATCTTTTTAACGTTCGGGGTAAAATAAAACTGAAAATATGCAAAACAAAATAAATATAATCATTATAAAAGGTGGGAAATAAAAGGAAACATTCGAATTGATCTAACATACTCGTACCGAATAAATACTCCAAATTTCGTTGAGCGTTAGAGTTTCGAGGTAATCGAGTGATTCTAGAAGAATCTTTTTACCGTTCGGGGTAAAATAAAACTGAAAATATGCAGAAGAAAATAAATATAATCGTTATAAAACGTGAGAAATAAAAGGAATCATTCGAATTGAGCGTCACTGAGATTTCGATAAACGACGTCGGGCAGAGGTAGCGACTCTTCTCGGGTGGGTAGCCGTCAGTTCGGGTGCGTTCGGGCGCGTTCGGTTCTTTTCGCAACGAAGTTGCCGACGAGACGCGAGACGCGAGACGCGAGACGCGGCTCGCGTTGCCAGTCAGCCAGTCACCGACAAAGCTTCGTCGCGGTAGTGTCTTACTTGGTAGCAGGTTATCGTCGCAATCGTGCGCCCTTTACGTTTACGATTGCTACTAGAATTATTGTCGTAACCCTGACACGCCGGAAAACGGTACCGTAGAACTGTGCCGTGTCAAGTACGGGAGTCGATGTAACGACATAACCGGGTATGCCAAAAATACTTCCGAAACATTATCGATCCGGCGTTTAGGTGAAGTGAATACGAACGTGTGCCTGTGTAAAGTTGTGTAGCGACGTCGCGTCATTCCGCGCCATTCGGTGATTTGTTTTGACATGTGTGTGTTCTGCCATATTGGATTATCGCATCGTGTCTTAAGGGTTGTACAGGCGCCAGTGTCACGTTGAAAAGGTATGTTGTGTTTATACTTCCGCTCCGTTTGTAACCCGTGTTAATCCACGGAAGAGAACGCAGGAACAGTATCGTCGCGTTGAATCGAATAAACGTGTTCAACGGAAAAGAGTACCGTCGAATCCTAGAATTGTCACGATTCGCGACCGATGTCTTGTTTCGATTTCAAAATAACAATAATTCGATGTTCATTCGGAAGATTTCGAGGCCATGTCGAGAAATGGCTGTCGCGTTCTATTAGTTATTTTGCTCGCTTGGCCGTATGAGTGGATTGCGAAACAATTGGTAGTAAAATTATGCGATACCCTTTGCGAATTACATACGTACAGTAAACCCTCGATTTAACGGACTAATAAAGAAGAAGGGATGTCCGTTAAATTTACATGTACGGAAAATAGCGTTCACTTAAAAGTAACAGTTCGTTAAATAACGAATGTTAGGCATTAAGAAATATATAAAAATAGATCCAATAAACTTTACTGCTATTCGTAATAAGTTAAGAGTACATATCTATTTTATTCAATCGAATTTTATTCTATCGCTTGATTCGTTATCTTTCGTGTTAATTTTAATGAATACTAGCGAGATATTAACGTCATCTCGTGGAGGAGGTGCTCCTATTGCGAGTTAAAATAAAATGTCTCCGCAGGATCACGATGTGAGCAGAATTTCTTTTTTAGAAATAATATAGCGAAATAACTTTTTTCAACAATTCTGATCATTAAATGTCAATGTCATGGATATCGTTTCTAGCTCTATAGTATGAGCGCAAGTGACACACTCTTGAAGAAATTAGTCGATTTTAACACTTTATTTACCGGGAGCCTATTTATAGGCTTTTTAATTGCAGAATTTAGTTATTGGAATTTATTTACAGTGTTGATGGTTGTCTACGAACAATGTTCAGTGTTTGGAAACAGACTTGGCTTTCAATGTACCCGGTAACAGTATGAAGGAATTATTGTCAGGCTAGATTGGCATACAGGGAGTGTAGAATGTATTCGTACACTGATCAATTTCCCAAAACACTTTTGTGTGAAATTTGTAGTTTATTAACTTGTTTTTGTATAATCAATGATATTTTATTAGATTGTCCGAAAAGTTTCTTTCGCTTTATTAATAAGTAATACATGCACAATATTTTATGTTTGATGTTACATTACTGAATTGTGCACGATTCATTTTGCTCCATTACTGTTACAACATGAATGTCTATGAAATTAGATTGTCTATTTATATAAACACGACCACATCAAATAATTGAGTGCAACTCGCGAAAGAAACTTTCGGGACAACCTAATACATATTCTCGGAAGTCTCTAAGATAGATATAGTCCAAACAACATTTACTAGTCAATATAATTTGTGAAATTGACAAAAAAATGCGAAAAGTGGGTAGAAGTATAGAAGCAGTAAGTATTTGTACGATTCTTATGACGAACCATTTACAGTAGAGTTTGTAACGTAAATACATTAGTTTATTGCTCCGTACGAATTAGAAAACATCAAATTTCCAATAAAGTACTTTTAAAAAAGGCTCTAATAGAAGAATGGAAGTAGATCCCACTTCGAATAACTAACAATTTAGTTAATTTAATGCTTAGAAGAGTTGCAATAATTATAAAATCAAAAGGAAATCCCTCGAAGGAAGTATTATATACTCATAAATTAATGTAAATTTCTTTTTTTTAACGAAGTTTTAAAAATTAAACAGTTGTGCGAATACTTATTGCTTCAATATTTCTATCAATTAATTGTTTTTTTTTTCTTGTTAATTTCGCAACTTACATAAATAGCTATTTTTTTTGTACTCTATCTATTCTAGAGATTTCCGAGAATAGGTAGAATGTCATTGTTTATAAAAAGTAAGTGAATAAATTACAATTTTACATAGTTTCTTTGGAATTTGATCGGTGTACGAATACTTTCTACACCCACTGTATGATACTGTAGCAAATTCTTTTTTAAATTAAAGTCTGTTTCTAAATAGCCCGGTAGATAAAGTGTTAAGGTAACACGAGGTAGAATTGAACGACGTTGAACTTGCGAATACGTGTATCGACATTGAACCACAGAATTCTGTCCGTTAAATCGAGGTTTCGCTCTACAATATTTAACGCGACACCGCCGCTCGTAATTTGATTAGCCAGGAATTTTCTGTCTCGGTATGATTATAAAATATTGATTCGTGTCAAGGTTCATGAACTCGTATCTACTCAATAATTTCATATTCCGGTGAATCGTCCCGAAGAAAGCGGCGATTGAATATAGCGAAGCAACCCTATCTTTGCTTCAAATTTTTCTCATCGAATGGCTCGGAACTACGTAGAATAATACAGTAGATTAATTAGTACGCCGGTTAATCGAGACCTCCGTGTATTTGGGATAAATACTGAAGAACGGAAACGAAAACTGTTGTTTCCCACTTCGCTTATATGGAACATACGGCCACCTCTCTTAAGCTGGCAGGACAAAATCAGCAGAATCATATCGGATTTAATGGAATATTTAGTACTTATTTTGTACTAATTTGTACCATCAACAATAATTTTGTACCTGTTACCGTTTACGAAAAAATCGTGGAGCTACCATTTTAATATAAGCTAGCAGGACCACACGTTAAAATGAATAAAAATGAGAAAAATTAAAGTGGATACATTTAGTGCTGAATTTGTACTAATTTGTACCACCAAAAGAAATTTTGTACCTGTTACCGTTTACGAAAAAATCGTGGCGCTGCCAGCTTAATATTAATATTACGATTTTCTTGAAAACAGTAACAGGTACAAAATTTCTTTTGGTGCTATAAATTAGTACATAATAAGTACTAAATATTCCACTAAGTCCCATATGATTCTGCTGATTTGGTCCTGCTAGCTTAAGAGAGGTCATACGGCCGTTTTATTGGGACTATTTACGCTCGTACAGTTTACAATTTCCAGAATTATGAAGAATTTTTAAAGATCGATGAAAACATTCAATGCTACGATGAAGATGAAGATTGCATAGATGTAATTGTTGAACAAGTTGTTGCAACGAAACATCAAGCAGAAGATTGAGAAAGTGATAGAGATGCTACTTCTGAGGAAGATCTGGTGACTAATCAGGAGGCTAGAAAATGTATTTCTAAATTAAGACAATATTTTCTGTAAAATGGAAATGAAGAATACTCAATTTCTGCGTTCGATGCCTGTACAGATTTCGTTCATTTGCAGACCCTAAAAAATTGCGCCAAGTTACACTTGATAAATTTCTGAAAAAATAATCACATTACTTATTTTTTATTACTCATTAATAGACTGCGGATCTTTATGCATTTATAGGAAATTTGAATGCGCAAGAACCTACAAAATGCAAACAATAAGCAAGAATATAAAAAAGATTGAAAGTAACGTTCATGTTATAACATATGCAGAATAAAATAAATTCCTATTTAAGTTCAATTTTTGTAGGCACGTTCGCGAAGATTTTATTTTGTATAAAGATCCGCGGTCTGTTCATTAATGTTATTTTATTACTTATTATTAGCTTCGTGTACATGCTTAAACACATTCGTATTCATAACCGAATGTATACGTTCTTCGATAAATCGTTTTTGGCTCTATTCTTTACTATTCTCTATTCTTGTTAAATTTTGCTTGTTGTAATTCGCTTTTTCGAGACAGTCGCCTAATTGGGACAAATTAGTTCGTTCCCAATGTGCTCAATTAACCACCGTGCCCCAAAATCCACTGTATCAATTTTGGGCGTTGCGAGCTAAGAAGTAACACCTATGATATTATATTTATGTGTAAAGTAAGGAACAAAATTAACTGTTCCTGAACAGTCTTTTCAATGAAAAATTTCCAGCCCACGCTTACTAACAAGTAAAAAATGTTTAATCGCACCTACTAGACTCATCAGAAATTTTCCATTGTTTCAACCTCGACGTTATAATTCTAGGCTAGAATATGCAGATCCTATCAGCAGGATATGCAATCTCGCGAATTCGTGTAGCAACAACGATAGACTTTTTAACGGACTATTATTTCTTTTCATTTTACTCTTCGTAAAATTATGTTAACAAGCTCACCTGGCAGGAAGTAATTTTAACTATCGTGCAAATGTGTAGTCGTAAATTATACACATGTAAATAATAATACACAACTTGTAATGAAAGATAAGTAATAATAAATTTATACAATTTTTATATTCTATAACTAAATTTCTAGGGAGATGAAACGTAATTGTTAGGTGTAGGAATTAATTCTGTGTCTTCACATTCAATCATTTGTAATTATTAGACTGTGAATCTTTATGCAAAATAAAATCTTCGCGAACGTGCCTACAAAAATTAAACCTAAATAGGAATTTATTTTATTCTGCAAATATTAGAACATGAACTTTACTTTCAATCTTTTTTATATTCTAGCATATTGTTCGCATTTTGTAAGTTCTTGCACATTCAAATTTTCTATAAATGCCTAAAGATTCGCAGTCTAGTAGTTATAGTTGAAGTAAGAATATTTATTTGACATTTTATGTTAAATTATCAATCTTCTAAGTTCTGAATCCAATTTCCATTATAATGAATCTATATACATATAAATCTCAACCTGATTGATACTGTAACTTATCTATGCATACGAAGTCCAGTAGCCCACAAATTTTACTTATTATTGTTGTTACAATTGTATCTGATAATTATTAAACTTACAAATTAATTTTTTATTTTTATTTTTTTTTTTTTTTCATTCATAACTTTAGTTATGACTTTCACAGTAATGAATTCTACAGATTGCTTTGAAATTTTGTTTACATTGTATGTGCTCACTTGGATTGTGTGCCCAAGGGTAGATTAAAAGTTGTATGGTTTTTCTTTATAAATAAATGGTAAGTGTACCTTAGAAAGGCACAGAATTAATTTCTACACTTAATACTTTTCATTGGAGTTCATGTTAGCGTTTCACAGTAAAATTGATTATAAACGTTCAGTAGACTTGATTTATATCGCAATTTCA